ACTTTCTCTGCACAGCCATGTACGTTGCCGACGAGGGTGTACGCATCGACCTCTTGGAGGTAGGTGCGTATAGCAAGGCGATTGCTAGGTTTTAAGTCCCTTGTTTTGATCGTTGATCGCGAGTCCGGAAGCTGGGGCTGTACCTCTACGGACATGTGATCTGATAGACCGTGGGGAGGACGTTGGATGGGGACCTTGTAGTACTCTCTCAGATTCGTTAGGACAAGGTCCAGTATTTTATCGCCTCGCGTGGGGAATTTGACAATCTGTTTTAGATCAAAACTGTTCTGAAGACGCTTGGTGTTAAGCCGATTGAAATCTCCAACAATAAGCAGACCACTGTTGGGAAAGCGCGATTCAATGGACGACAAACTCTGCCACAAATAATCTAAAATTGCAGAGTTATCGTTGTTTGGTGGATGATAGATTATTCTTAATACAATACAACTGAATCTCCCCTCGGGAGACGAGCAGGTCGTAATTTTAACCAAAGCGCTTCAAAAGATGGGTCTTCTAAATCTTCTAGGATAGTAAAGTTAATATTGTCTCTAATATATACGCAAACCCCTCCCTGAGTAATATCAACTCTGTCCTTTCGCACTAGATTGAAGCCACTGAGCGCGACAATGTTATCTTGAACATAACTACGAAGCCATGACACAATCCAAATTTGCATGTTGGGAAACGTAGCGGATTTCATCAATCTTGGGAGCAAGGGACATAACGTTCGATAAATATAGCGGTGGGCCGTAGACAGATGGAGAGCCCTTCCTTGTTGAGATTGAAGTTGATGTTAGACGAACGCAGTTTGACGGATTGTGGGCTTGCTGGGAAACACGCCAAGATAGTTTTCCCAAGCCATTGCCGACACTTCGCTGCTGAATCGTGCTTATTTTAAGACGGCGAAGTTTGCTATCTCTTGAACAAGACGACCAGCACGCACACCTCTATAACGAGGCCAAAGACGTAAAGAACTCATGTTGACCTTATTAAAACTTACTTGGGTATAAAACTTACATCCCCAAGTAAGTTTTAACAAGGCCAACATGAGTTCCTTACTTCCTTCCTTAAATCCAAAAACCAAAATTATTCCTATTAGGATCTTGGAGTCAATACATATTTGTTTCACTGTTATGGTAGATCTCTGAGGGGGTCCTTCGAAAATAATTTTTAACGCGCTACCTTATTTAATCCCAACCATCATTAACTATACATCGATAGAAAGGTAATTCAATATCCCATCCCCGGCGTTGTTTCGCGGTTTTCGCGTCATTCAAATGGGAGAAAAATTTATGAGGGGCCGCAACTTTAATTCGAATCGGATGACTCCTCTTGAACAAAATACCAGGTATCGAATTTTACCGCACAAACAAAACTTCTGCAGATTCCCAGCAATCACAAGTGTGCTCCCTAAAAACTGTGTGAGGCCGGTTTTGGTTACTTTGACCAGCCAAATGTCGAGTTTCTTCAACAAAAAAGTTTACTTACCACGCTTTTTGCCAGTACTCGTATGTGCCAAGAACTGAGGTGGAAAGTTATTGATAAGGATGCAGATATCTCGCGTTGTATTACCCCGCAAGTGGTTGCGTTTTAAATATTTTATTTTGTCTCTGCCACTTCTCCACGGAAACAAAAATAGTTACACAAAAACGCAATCAAGCGGTGGAACCGTAATTTATGCAACAGACAGAAAGCTCTGTCAATGTCAATCAGATACGAAAAAGGTTTTAATTCTTAAAATTAACCATGACGTATTTTGAAAATTTGAATTCTTTACCAATACTTTCAAAACTAATTTACCAACAAAACGGAGTGCAATTTAAATATTTAATTAGGAAAACCCAATATGCACATGTACTTTCAAGATTCTTTCAAGCGGTTTGTTTATTTTCGTTCTTTTTCCCTCTCTTTTATTTAATTTGTTTTACGTTCTCGTGATGAAGTCGCCGCCAGTTAGACGGCCAATAGGAAATTTTGGATGAGTACCTATCAAACAGCAATAACTACGAATTTCATGACGTTTTGTAATGGCTGCTGTACAAGATACTATTTGGAGTCAAGACACGGCGCGAAAAAATTGAAACTTCAGTTGATGTAAGACACTGAAAAACAGGAACCCAAACTCAGTTACAGCTGAGAGTTAAAATCATTCCCTTGTTATTGCTAACTTAATAGAACCTGAAACACAACTATTGTACTGTACGAGAATAATAGAAACATGAAGTAAAAACCCTAAATTTCTGCGATTATTTCGAGCTCATTCTTCTAAAAACGCGTGCGTTCGTTTGCCCCATTTTAGTCTCTCATATTAGTATCTGGTACGTACGAGCGCAAAACTTTCTTTTTCAAAATTCAACAGTTTGTTTACCATTACACTTAATTTTAAAAAGGCGTTTCCTTCTCTAAATTCACGCGCGTTTCGTAATCACATATGATCTCTACGTCCAAAAGCTAATAACGTATTTTAACAAACTTTACTTCTCCTGAACAATGATATTATTTCCTCAAGGCAAAAAATCCAAACAGTTTGCGGTACCTCCGGCAATGACCACGATTTACCTAAATAATCGAGTACGCTAAGCGAGTTTAAAAAATTGCTCTTGTATCACTTAATATCAGAAGATTCGATGCTTACCACACCATCAAACAATTAGCTTCCTTTTTCGGATACGCAGTTCACCACTAGAGTTATAGAACAAAGAACAATCAATGTAGTTTAACCTACCAGAACTCAAGGAAGGTAGCAGGCCTTTTCTTTCGTACCAGCCAAGATCGGTAATTGTGATTAAGACGGATCGTAAGGGTCGATAATAGCTCTTTACTCCTCCATGGTAACAGTACAGGCTCAGAAAACACGACATACCTCACGTGCGTCGGGCCAAACTGACACTCCGGCGGATCTGAATTACATGTCAACTATTAATTTACGGGTGACTATTGCTTTCCCCTCCACATTTTGACAGTGTCCATTATGAAATGGCGTTCGAAACGCTAGCCGCGCAAAAGGTATTTGCTAAGGATTTCTGCAAAATGAATAAACCGTTTCAGTGAACACGCACGCTTTAAGGCAAAGAAAATCGCCAAATTTTGCGCGCGCAAAGACAACTCCACGTTTAAGCCTCATAAGGAGTATATGTGATGAGTATGAGATCAGCTTCCTTTTCTCTTGTTGCCGTATTTCTGTCTTGCCCTACACCTTTCTCAACCGTAATGTAAATCACAATAAAACTGACTAGATCGGAAAACTTCCCCGCGCTACGCATAATGCTTTAAAAGCGGGTACTATCAGGGGTATACAGAATCAGAAAATTCGATCTCAGATTAGATCGTAACAAACAGATCCTTTTCTTTGACGGCGTCGTTTCTCGAATTGATTTTAAACCATCAATATGACTAATTACTGTTTCCTTGATGTATGAGCTGTCCACTTCTTCCAAGTTTTAATTACTTGGACATGATTCCATAATGGAGGGGGTCGACCAACGGTTAAAATTGTCAATTTTTACGGCTAACTGCTAATTTTTGGGCCACTTAACCGCGAACGGTTACTGAATCCTACTGAGACCCTCTTGCAAAACACTCCTTAATGTAATGAAACAAAAATCGTAACAAATAGATCCTTTTCTTTAACGGCGTCGTTTCTTGTTGCTTAGCTTGAATTGATTTTTAAACCATCAATATGACTCAGATTAGATCGTAACAAACAGATCCTTTTCTTTGACGGCGTCGTTTCTCGAATTGATTTTAAACCATCAATATGACTAATTACTGTTTCCTTGATGTATGAGCTGTCCACTTCTTCCAAGTTTTAATCACTTGGACATGATTCCGTAATGGAAGGGGTCTCAATGAGTTGATGGCTTTTACGGCTATTTCAATTTTGGCCAATATACGGCTATCGGTTAATATCTTTTCATAGTAGTCATCATAAACATTTTTAAGGTTAACTTTTATCACGATTAACAGTTAAAATTGTATATTTTTACGGCTAACTGCTAATTTTTTGGCCGCTTTACCGCGCACGGTTACTGAATCCTACTGAGACCCTCTTGCAAAAACCCTCCTTATTGTGATGAAACAAAACTTGGTTTTAAGAAAATTAACAAGTCGCGGTTTTGTGTCATTTCCTCGCTTTCACTATGGTTTTCTACGGGCCGACTACGCACGCGGGCTCGTACAGGACATATG